TTTTTCAATTTTTGAGGGTAATGTCTTCGACTAGATACGATTTGTGATCTTTTGATGTATCGTTGAAAGAAATAGGTTCGATGCGAAGCTGAGAAGGTATTAATTTTACTATAATGTTTTTTTTTGTGTCTGTTACCACATATTCTCAGCTCTCACCGAACCTATTTCTTTCAACGATACGTCAAAAGATCACAAATCGTATCTAGTCGAAGACATTACCCTCAAAAATTGAAAAATTTTCCCTTTTGTATGGAGGAAATCTCCAAAAAAATTACAAATTTAAAAATCGCTAATTTTTTAATGAGAAATAATATTTTTTAATAATTCCTTTTTCATTCGACATACTTTATCTTAATCAGGATATTAATAAGGAACTAGCAGATTGTGTAGCTTTTGGAATAACACCAATTTTTTAAAATTAAACACTGTCTAATGATTTGCATCGAAGCGTTATTTTTTCATAGTGATTTTAATCACTGTTTTAATAAATGGTTAAAGAAGCTGACGTCTTTAACTCTAGTTGACTTCTTATAATAGAAGCCATGCGTATTGGTATTAATATACAATCTGTACAATAATTTGATTTTGTCAAGATATTATCTAATTATTTAGTGTTTTAAGAAGGGAATTTTGTTTTGGTGATAAAAATATTTATAATATGTAAAATACATGTTTATTCTTTGCTTTAGAATCTGAGATTGTGTATAAATATTCAATAAGTTTTAAATCATCTTCATTTAACTTATAATATGTGATATATTTTTCAGTTTTAACATTAATACTCAATTTGTAGCCTAGGTTATTAATTAAATTATTTGAAATTAATTAAAAATAGTTAGGTTTTATTTTATTTATTATATTATTGATATTTAAAATCACATAATTGTGGTAATCGTCTAGATCAAAAGATTTGAATACTTTTTGAACATCATAAGCTTCTTGACCGTCAAATAACGTATGGTACAGAATATGGCGTTCGTCGAATCCATCTTGTTGAAGGAGGAAGCGGAACGTCTAAAACAAAGGCAGCCACGCCGCCCGGCATGGGAGGACCTGAGGCTCTGGTTTAGGCTACCGACTTAGGCATTCATGTTCTATGTTTTTATGTTTTTTGTGAGGTATTAGCCCCCACACAAATCTCTGCCTTCATTTCCACGTGGTGCAACCCGGGTAACGGATCCCACTCTGGGATTCGGCTAACGGGGGAGGCCTCCCCATGTTGTGAATCAGTTCTTGATTAATTTCGGGCTGATTCACAACGTAGTGGTGTTAGTTCTAAAGACGGCGTGAGCCGCCCTGAAGTAATTCCTCACGGTAGTTCCAGGGTGGTCCATACTTATGCCGGTCTTGGAAAAAAAAAGAAAAGAAAAAAAAATTGAACTAGCTTAAATTTCAATTTTTATCCACAGTAGAAATGTGATGTACGGTAATACTAATGAATTTTTTTCTTAATTCACTTTGAGTTTTCAATTTGAGTTTGAATTTTCAACTAATTTGATTTTTATCTCATTTAGATTTAATTACTACAATGCATATCAAAAACCCTACCATTATAGTCTCCCCACTTGAGAAGAAATTTCTTATTTATATAATAATTATTTTAATGTGGTTTTTTTTATAGATGTCATTCAATGTGTAATATAAATAAATGTTTGCAGAGCACAATGAAATAGCTGATTTTAGCATTTTGAAGTTTGACTATTCGAATGCTTTAATATTGGCCCAAAGCTTTGCAAGTTTGTTAAAACAAAGACATTAAGCTTGATACTAGCTACCAAGTACGCATAAGCTTACAAACCTAATATATCTATTTTTAAAATAATAAAAGCTCAAGACTTGCTACATAATGAGAAATACGCACAATAGATTTTTAATATTGTATAAACATTTAAAATAAGATTACGTAAGTCATTGGAATGAAATAATTTACAAAAAAAAAACTGATATTTAAAATATTAATTAATATTTATTTCCATGATATGAAAAATATAATATTATTATCTTATAAGTAAATAAATATAAATTAAAATATTCACCAAAACTAAATTCACTTTAACATTTCTAAGTATATTATAAATTAAAGATTATTATTAATTTGAAAAAAATTTTAAATTCAAAAAAAATTGTTGGGGCTAATTTACAAAAAAAATGATTCTCGAGTGGAGTCTCTTAGATTTTTTGTATTTTGATGCCAAAAAAGAACTGGTTTTAGAATGTAAAATGGCTTATTATGATCAGAGGAGAGTGTCCTTGCAATCTATAGCATAATCATGAAAGCTGAAGATTTTGTCCAGATATCATTTGGTTATTTAGTATTTTAAGAAGGGAACTCTGTTTTGATGTTAAAAATATTTATAATATGTGAAATACATATTCAAAAAACATATTCTATGCTATTATTATAAGTGATATCATAATGTAAGTTATATTATTAAAACGACGATTAAAACACCATTAAAAATAAACTCCAATTTAATTTAAAATAATTTTAGTATTGATTTGAAATAAATTATGATGATTCAAAAACTGATTAAAAACTGTTTGAACTTATAAAAAAATTATTTTCACAAATCTAATAACCTTATTTCATTGTTATTTTCATCGTTATTTTCATCTTCGAAATTGAATATTTCTAAAGTTTCAGTAAATTTTAAATATGATAAAATACTTTTTATATTAACACTTTGGAATATTTTATCGAATAACTTAGTAAAATAAAATATATTTACTAAATGATTATTCATTTCTTTGGAATCTGAGATTGTGTATAAATATTTAATAAATTTTAAATCATCTTTATTTAATTTATAATATTTGATATACTTTTCAGTTTTAACATTAATACTCAATTTGTAGCTTAGGTCATTAATTAAATCATTAATTAAATCATTTGAAATTAATTTGAAAGAGTTCGGTTTTATTTTATTTATTATATTATCGATATTTAAAATCAAATCATTATGATAATAGCCTTGATTAAATGATTTGAATACTTTTTCAACATCACAAGCTTCTTGACCATCAAATAATATAATGGTATTCTCAATTAAACATTGCAATTTTTTTAGGCCGTATATTGCATCTACTTTCTGTTTATTTTCTAACAATAAAGAAACATACATTAATTTTTTTCTCATTAAATGCATTAAAACGGTTTTAAAAACGTTTAAGACTTTTTGTTGGTAAATTCCTATTTGTTGTATCCATTTATCAAACCGAAAATAATTCTTTGCCGTTGTATATTCTTTATATATGTTATTGTAAATAGTCTCAAAAATAGCTTCACTCTGTTCACCAAAATCTATTATAATAGTTCTCAATAAATCTTTGTCTTCAATTATATCACACATGTAAATATTTCTAAGTGAGAACGAATTTTCTTGTTCTTCTACATTTTCTAAATCAATTTTGTTGATTTCTTGTCTTTTATGCATGGTATTTATTAGATTTGTGAGGAGTATATAATATTCTCCATTAAAATAATCAACTTCATAATTATTATTTTGTCGACATATTTGATTACTTACAAGATATAAATTTTCCAAAACTTGTTCGATAGCTTTTTTAATATTGTTTTTATATCGATATACATCATTTCTAAACAATTGAACATAATAAGTATATAAATGTATTATCCAAAATATAGTTAGTCTATCGTCCATATAATAATTTAATATTGTAACTAAAAATTGTTTTGTAATCGAATCATTTATAATCATTGTATTTATATCATAAGTATTTCCTGGTGGATCATGAATGAGGCGAAAAAAAAGTTCAGTATATTCCATAAAAGTAAACATATTACTACAAAAAAGGTCTAAAAATATTATATCCGTTTTTTTCGTTAGTACAACATTTTTAAGATTTTGATTTTCTTCCAAGATTTTATTTTTGATATCTGAAAATGACAAATTCCGTACATCATCATAACTAAGATACGAGAATCCAGTGTCTAATTTTAGAGCAGATTTTAATGATATTTCAATTTTCTTCCAGTTATTTTTTCCGTAACATAATTTTGTCTCCACAACACACAACAAAAAAAGTAACACAGTATTTTTTTTTAAAATCATTTTTAATTGGTAATGTTTAAATTGTTTAGTAATTTATAAATTTCATGATATTTTTTTTTTAAACTCTTTATATGTATTATAATTGTGTTTATTTAATTGTCATTTTCAATTTTAAAATCAGATCGCATAAATCATATGTTATAAATTTAATAAAGTATTATACAAATAATTTATTTTAATNTAAAATCAGATCGCATAAATTATATGTTATAAATTATTAAACTTTGTACAAATAATTTATTTTAATAAACAATATATTAGGCTCTAATTTTGCATGTTCATTAGTAAATAAAGTATTAATATTAAGTAGTTACAAAAAAGTGGCAAAAAGATATCTATTTATTTTGTGTATTATATTAATATATATTTTTATTATTAAGCAACCAGCAAAAATTAAATAGCGTGTTTTATCTTATATTTTCTGATTTAAGACAAAAAAATCTTGACATTTTCCATTCCTTTTGTTTTAGAGGTCACTCATTTCAAATTGAATATCTGTTTTAAAATTCTTATTTTTTTAGAAGTACAATAAGGGCAACATTTTTTATGAATTATATGGATATATAAGTTTTTAAGTCACTAAATAATTTCCATTATATGTTTGGGATGTCTCAGTAAAAATATTCTGTATAATAAGTATGTGAGTAGATTTTGGGAAAAATGTATTGGGTATCAAAAATAAATATGTATACTATGATCAAGACTTGGCCGTTGCCCTCAATCCTTAATACAATTTTTATTAAATTTAAAAAAAATTGATGTACTTTTAATATTAATTATAATTTGAATGGTAAAAGTATAGATTTCGTAAATTATTATATTAAAATTTAAAAAAAATTTATGAAATAAAAGTAAAAATTTTTGTTGCATATATTTTTCCTTTTGGTATATATTAAATTACTAAAATATTTTTTAATTTTTAATGATAGTGCCTAAAATAACTTTTTATATGATTTATGTTATAAGGCTTTTTAACTATGTGTTAGAGATGTAAATAAATTAAAAATAAATGTATGAAGTTTTCTGTTAAGCAACTGTATGTAGTTATAACGTATCAGATATTAAAAATAGTTAAATAACAAATATTCAGCGCTAACGTCATGCTAAAGTAAAGTCGTTGGTAATCGTATTAACAAAAAAAGTAGAAAAATAACAAAACTTCTAATAAAATAATAGAATCGTGAAATAAAACTAATTTCCTGGCCACCATATACTCCGTTGANGCCTATACAACGGTCTGTAATTGTACATTACTTGTAACATGACAAAAAAGTATTTTTCATTTTTGTGTTAAGAACACTAACAGAAGCCATTCGATATGTTTATTATACAGGTGGTCCATGATGTTTATTATGAAGCAAACATAATAAAAACGTTTTCAAAAGATATTTCTTCAACTCTAATAAGAAAGTTTAAAAAATAAATTATTTGAAAATATTTATTATGCTCATATTCAATTTAAAATATTTTTAAAACATCAAATAAAAATTATATATATATATAACCTTTCAATAAGGGTTTACAAAAATTTTAAATTAGGTATATAGATATATGGAATTATCTGTTTTTAACTTCTTAAATTTATAATAGAGCATTTAAAACTTATACAACCAACCAAACATAATTCCATCACTAATAATGACGACGATTCAAATAACCAATTAATACAAACCACCGAAAATACATCTAGTCCTCCTATTTCTAAAATTGTTTTCTATTTTATTAACTCAACATTTAACTTTGACGCAATTTTCTAAACTACCATCCAAACGGCCTCAAAAACTAAAATTGTTTGCTTCCAAAAAAAAAAAAATGAATTAGCTAACTGATTCTGATATTAAGGTTATTATAAATCTTAAATAAAATTATTGTCGCTGATTACCAGTCACTCTAATTGGTAGATAACGTTGGATTTTTACAGTATAGTAAACAATTACAACCACTTTGACAGTCATACTGGTCAAAATATAGCCACTACACTTACAAATATTTTTAACGAGTGGGATAGAGCAAAAAAATATAATAACTGTGTTATCTGACAATGGATCAAATATTAAAAATGGAATTGACGAATACCTACTTAAAAGCTATCACCCATAAGTGGCACACACGTTAAACTTCAGCCTTATTGAGGTGATAAATGGAAATACTGATATTAATAAAATTTAAAAAAAATTAGGACAATAGTAGGGCATTTCAAGCACAGCAGTTATGTGACTGGAAATTTTAAAGATTTTCGATCCCCGATGAACTAACCTCCGTTAATAGTTAACCCTTATGTGACTGGAAAGGTACCCGGGTACNATAAGATGTGCCGACAAGATGGAATTCTAGTTTTATAGTAATAAAAATGCCAAAAATGGATAAGATAAAAATTAACCCATCGCTTCGGTCAAGCAACTGAAACAGTCAGTTGCTACTATCAGGTTCGTTTTTCCCCTTGATGTTCTGTGGTACTCACCCATTAAATCGATACTAATGACCTCCCACGGTTGTCTTATTTTGCGCGAAGTTGGAAGATCATTCGGACGCCTATTTAGGGCCTACGTACTCGCGTACTATGTTTTTCAGGCCTTTCCAATAGAAATGCTGTTTGATCGCTCAGTAGGTTTCTTTCCGTCCTGGATGACACGCCAGTGCATCGTCGTGGTATCATATGCTGTGATTTGGATACTGGTATTACGTGTCTATGCCCATACGAATGCGTATAAGTCCGTCTAACATGAAATATTCGTTGTTGTTCTTGCTGGACTCCTTGTCGTTTTTTCTGGCGTTCTCCTTGAGTAATTATTTCATGATGGATGAAAGAAACGGGTCGTCGTTTTGCCACTCTTGTATCCCCCCCCCCCGTAAACGGCCGTTTATCTGACGCGCTGTTTGTTTCGGTTAAGGCAAAAACATTGTCAAGAGTGGCTCTTCGTCATCAGGGGGCCCCGCGGTCGGATAACGTGACAATATGTCCGGTCCTTCGTTATGTTTCCCGGGTACATGTGTCGTTGTAAAATTCAAATTACCTAGATGTAGTGCCCACCTAGTTAATTTTGAATTGTTGTCCTTTGCTCTGTGTAGCCAAGTCAACGCGGAATTATCTGTAAATAATTCTAACGGAGAATACTCTAAGTACGGGCGAAATTTATCTGTCGCCCATATAATTGCTAAGCATTCTCGTTCTACGGCAGCGTATCGTTTCTGCGTTTATGATAGTTTCTTACTGGCGTAGAATATGATTTTTCTCTCTGCCGGTTCATTTCCGTGTTGAAAGAGTATTGCGCCCACGCGCATTTCACTCGCATCGGTTTGAAGGCAGAAAGTTTTCGCGTAGTCAGGAGGACTCAGTCGTGGGGACTCGCACAGGGCCTTTATTATCTGTTCAAAAACCCTTTGATGGTCTTCCGTCCACAACCATTTCGTCCCCCTTTTTAGTAGATTTGTCAGCGGCGCTATTGTTTCGGCGTAGTTGTCGACGAATTGACAATACCAATTAAATATGCCGAGACATCTACGTAGGTCCCTGATATTCCGTGGGACCGATAGGACGCGGATGGACTCGAGATTTTTGGGCTGCTTGTCTATGCCCTCACCGTGTACAATTCCAAAAAGGAAATTTCAGAAAACCCTATTTACACTTTTTTGTGTGACATGTCAGCCCATGTCGCTCTAATCGTTCTAGAACTTTGTCTAAATGTTCTAAATGTTTTTCTCAACTACTTGAATAAATAATTATGTCGTCCAAGTAAACATGGATAAAATCATCTAGATATCCTCTAAGTACTTCATTCATAAGTCTTACAAAAGTCATAGACGAATTTTTGAGTCCAAAAGGTAGTACACGAAATTGAAACAAGCCCCTTCTCGTTCTAAATGCCATAAACTTACGGGCTTTTTGATTTAAGGAGCATTGCCAATAACCCGACTTTAAGTCGAGAGTCGTGTACATTTTGCCCCTCTCATGTTTCTAACCATCTCGTTTAGATTAGGCATGGGGTACGCGTCCGAGACGGTTACTTCGTTTAGTCGTCGGTAATCTATACATAAACGAAAAGTCCCATCCTTCTTCTTTCTATAGAACTATAGGTGCTGTCCACGGCGATACACTCGGTTCTATTAGCCCCTGCGCCTCCATGTCGTTTACCATATTGTCAATAATCTACTCTAATCTGCTTGTGCAGGGGGTAGGGTACGGTTTTAGTGCGATAGGAGTCGGGTCTTTCAATAGAATGTCGTGCTCGATCAATTTTGTGCGACCCACCGTGTCGTTAAAAACCGCTGAGTAATTACAAATTGTCTCTGTTAATAACGCGGGCGTTTGTGGGTCGCCGGTTATATCTAATTGCGTCAGATCTGGTTTGGGGGTCGTGTGTCGTGCGCCTGATTTCCAGCAAGCGGTTGTACGTTTCTTAGTGACCAAGTGTATTGTTTCCGCTGAGTAGTCCCAGGCGACTTTCTGATCAATCAGAAAATCAAGGCCCAGTAATACATTGCAATACAGGTCGTCTAAAATAACCACTGAAAAACGCACTTCTAAATCCGCGATTATTTTAATGTTGTTATTCAGTTCGCCTTATTACCATATTTTTAATTATCGAAATAACCACAAAGACATTTCAAATTGTTAAAAAAAAATTTTGTTATTTATGTTTATAGACAGCTATTAATGAAAAAAAACTTTTCACATAATTTTAATAAATTAGGACTGGAGGTGCTAATTTTTGAATGGTGGTGCTGTAGCACCCCCCCCCAGT